GTAGAATAGGCATATTCCAAGGTGACTGAATTGATACCAAAATGCCTGCCTTCAAATACTTCTGAATACTCTCATATATAGCAGCTATAGCTTCACTGAAGCAGGATCTCTGCCTGATATGCACAAGCGTTGCTAAAGGTTTCACTTCCACAATCAGGGGGCGGGTGATGGGCTGCAAAATTGGGGGGGTTATCCTCAGCCCATAGCCCTGGTACGCCAAACTCCCTCCATTTCTCTTCCTGGGACCCCTCTCCTACGGACTTATTAACCATCAATTTCCACATGGTCTCAGGTTGATGCTTTATCTGAAGCTTTTGTTGCCCCCAACTTGTTAAGTAAATCCCTACCTAATGGGTATCGGACATTCGGGAATGTACAGGAACTCGTGTTGGATCTTTGAGCCTTCAAATATACAAGTCACAGGTTGTAGAACTTTATGTCCCAAAACCTGTCCTGACATTCCTTGAACTTGTATCTTATGGGGTCCTAATTTAGCAATTTGACTATTCACAACTGATCGCCCTGCTCCGGTATCCACCAAAAATGTTGTTTGTCAACCCCCTATGTTCAAAGTAACTAATGGCTCGGGGGGAAATTCCCTTTCTCTATCCCAGTCTCCTTTATACCCTTGAGTCCCTCTCTGTCCTCTTCCCCTAAAGGGGAAGTGAGTGGGGGATCCACCCTCAACACCTCCACGTCCTCAGCCTATTCTTCCTTTCCAACCTCTTCCTCTCATTGGCTGTCTAGGACAATGACCTTCCTCTCTGCAATTAGCACACTGATTAGGTCCCCGTATACTCCCTCCTTGCAACACCACAGCCAACAATTCTGTCTTCTTATGCATCCTAGCCTTTTTCTCCTTTTTCTCAACCTTATCCCTATTAACAAACACTTTCCTTGCTACTTCCAACAGTTCAGTGGTATTTTTCCCTAATGCTCCCTCCAACCTCTGCAACGTCTTTCTTATGTCATCATAACTCTACGCTATGAACCTCTCATTCAACATCCGTACATTATCCACACTCCTTGGATCTACCTGAGTATAGAGCTCATAAGCTTCAATCAATCTCTGCAAGAAACTCTCTGGACTTTCATCTGCTTCCTGCACCACAAAAGATGGCTTTGACATATTCATCGGAGGCTTTCCAGCCTTTTGGAGAGCTTCTACCACTAAATTTTGGTATTCCTTCAACAATTTCATCTTTGCCGGATCCTTCATGTCCCATGCCGGATCCTTCTCTGGTGCTCGTGTGTCCAACTCTGGCTGTAAATCCGGTACAGCAGGCAATCTATCTCTCAAACACTGTCTAATGGCAGCCTTCCACTTTTCCTTTTCCTTGGGAGTCAACAATGTATTTAACAATTGTTGTACATCCTGCCATATTGGATTATGGGTTTGCATAATAATCTGAAATAAATCTATCATTTCGGCAGGTTTAGAGGACAACGGACCATAATGTTGCTTCCAATTCAACAAATCTGTAGTGGTAAAAGGAACATACTGGAACATGGACTGAATCAGTACTGCTCCTTGCTGGTCTGACACTGCCTGATCCACTTGCCTCAAGGGAGCTATAAGATCCCGTCTGGCAGCCCAGCCCTTGCCGCGGCCAATTTTGTCACTACTCTAGTAGCCACTATTCCAGCTTCATTCTCCACTTCATCCTCTTCACTCATTTCCCCTCTAACATTCACAGGGAGATCTGCCTCCTCCACATCCCTTTCCTCCTTGGGGGCCGATGGCCTCCCCCTCTGTTTCTGCCGCACAAATGGCTGCATGTCCCCGGACACAGCAGAGGCAGCCGGCAGCGCATCTTCAGGCATAGCGGCTGCCACTGCCAGCACTTGGGGCATGGGAGAAAGGTGCAGTACATAGGGAGGGGGCCTAAGGATTAGTTCCTCTATTTCCACCTTTATCTCTTTCCTTGCATCTGATACCTTAGTGTCTGAAATCTTCACATCCTTGAATCTCTTAGACTTGTCCTGTAGCTTTTTTCCTTTAGGTCTAACCATGCACAAACGAACCATTTCAGCCTGACATTGCAATAACTCATCTGCCTTCTCTGCCACTGCTTCTCCCCACTGATCTATATATTGAAATTGGTTAGGATAGTTTTCCTCATTGGTTGCTATCAGGAAGGTGAGATCATCAATAATTTGATTCTTGAAAGTTCCCTCTGGTGGCCACCCAACATCCATGTGAGGCCATTGGTGCTCACATAGAAACTGCAATCTATCCCTTTTATCTTTGGGTAGGGCACCTTATACTGGGTATGATTAAAGTACTTATCAAATCCTTTTAACATGCATTCCAGCAGTGTGCTGGGAACACTGTTATGCCCCCCCCATCCTAACAACACTGCCACTGACCTAGAGTGCCAGATGTTCCAACTGTCACCAATAGGAAATACAATGGCTTAACCACCCACACAGCCTAACACAGACTTCTTTAGGAACAACATCCTGAGTCGAGGAGGGTGATCAAGCCTTCTCTTCTATCTTCAAGTGAGATAGGTACATTTCATTTTAACCATATACTCGCCTGCAGCACCTTAACACTCATCCTGGCCAGGAACTGGTTCAGACCTCCTTTCCTTTCCCCAAAGGTTCTTGGACTGGCTATCAGCACCGTCAGCTCTGCTGATGAGCCACAGCTGTCTCCCGGAGGAACACGCACCCATGGCACCAGGAGAATTGTTCAGAGGTGGTTTCCCAGCATGTCCAAAGGGTCAAGCCGCCCTCAGCGAAACATCACCTCACTCAAGTTTCCCGGCCAATGCACCAGAAACTGTTGTAGAAATGAGAGACTTGAGTCAGCTCTTTTGGGAAAGGAAATGGTTTATTGTGCAGGTTCAGAGAGCTAATCACAGCAAAGGGTCTGAACCCCAAAAGGGGCTTGGTTGAACATTCTTATACCCCTTAACACATATGCATTTCCTGATCATGAAGTATTCCATACATGGTTATATTCTATAGTTCCTTATTCTAACATAGGAAAACTACCAAGCAGTTGCAATATATCACGTGCATTGAGAAAAATAGGATAGGGAGCTGATCGAGCACTTCTAAATTTAAGCATCGTCTGGTAGACAGGAAACCTCCTTCATGCCTGCAGTTTCTGCTGGACACCAGTATTTTTCCAGTTTCCCTCTTTAAGAAGAGATCAACCCCGACAGCTCATTAGAAGGCCAGATCCTGAAGTTGAAACTCAAATATTTTGGCCACCTAATGAGAAGGAAGGACTCCCTGGAGAAGGGCCTAATGCTGGGAAAGATTGAGGGCAATAGAAGAATGGGATGACAGAGAATGAGGTGGCTGGGTGGAGTCACTGAAGCAGTAGGTGTGAACTTAAATGGACTCCAGAAGATGGTAGAGGACAGGAAGACCTGGAGGAACATTTTCCATGGGGTCACGATGGGTCAGACACAACTTCGCAATTAACAACAATAATTGTATCTCCAAGCTACAGTAATAGAGAGAAGAATAATATTGCTGTTCTTTCACCAATCTAAGGAAGATTCAGATCATTCATACATTTACCAGGAGGTGACACTGAAGGAGCCACCCGGAGTAAATGTTTTAGGAGTTGTATCTCAAAGACTGAATGGGCCTTTTCAGATTAGGTGAGAAATGGAACTTCTCTGGAGGACATATATGGGGTCCCCTTAACCAACTTGCTCAAACTGAAGAAGTACTTCAGGCATGTCAAGCTGCTGGCCCATGGGCCGGACACGTTATCCTGAAACCGCTCCTACACCATTGCTGGGAATGGGGAAAAAGTCGTGATACGTTGTGTGATGTCATGTGACGTCATGAGTTTGACATACCTGAAGTACTTGGAAAAGCAGTAAAATGTTTTGAACCATCAAGAAAAGAAGCCTATTTGCCAAGATGCAACTTCCATATGTCTTAGAATTACCGTGTTTCCCTGAAATTAAGTCCCGGTCTTGTATATTTTTTGCCTCCAAAAGAGGCACTAGGACTTAATTTCGGAAAATGTCTTACTTTAGGACCACCACAGCCAGGTTTCCAATGCCCCGACACCTGTCGTGCCATACTTGACTTCTTCTGAAGCTGCTTGCCACCACTTGCAGCTGGATGCCATGTGGCTCATTGCACTGTTGCCGCTCCTCCCAATAGGATGCTGCATGGTGCTTTGAGCCATTTCTACTCCTCCTGTTTCTGCAGCAGAAACGCCCAAAGTGTCATGTGGACTCCTGCTGTAGGCAAAATAGCCCGAACCCCGCAAGCAACAGAAGCAGCCTGAAGTGCATGAGCAACAGAAGTGTCCCAAATCACTGCGCCACTAGCGGAAGCATCTCAAGGTGCTGCACAAGCAGCAGAAGCATCCAGAAGCACTACGCAAGTAGCAGAAGTGGTCCGAAGTGCTATGCAAGCAGCAGAAGTGGCCCGAAGCACTGTGCAAGGAGCAGAAGCAATCCAAAGCATGTGAGCAACAGAAGCTGCCTGAAGCACTGTGCAAGCAGTGGAAACAGCCTGAAGTGCAGCTCAAGCAGCAGAAGCAGGCAGAAGCACTATGCAAGCTGTGGAAGTGGCCTGAAGTGCACAAGCAGTGGAAGTGGCCCTAAGTGCCATGCAGCATCCTGTCGGGAGGAGCAGCAATAGCACAATGCACCACATGGCGTCTGTCCACAAGTGGCAGTAAGTGGCTGAAGAAGTCAAGTACCAGTGCAACAGGTATTGGGGTGAGGGACCCCCGGTTATGGTGGTCCTACCAATAAGGTAAGCAGGTTCACCCTGCCCACTCCTGCCCTAGCTTGATTTTTAGGGTGCGCCTCACCCCAAAAGTAGGGCTTAGTTTTGGTGTAGGGCTTATATTACACCCACCCCTAAAAAGCAAGCAAGGGCTTATTATCGGGCTTGGTCTAACCTTCGGGGAAACATGGTAAGAATTTAAGAAAGACTGTAGGTGGCATATTAACTGTAAATAATCCATTTCATTTGACTATAACATTGCTCAACATAGATTCATTTCGCAGCATGTAAAGCGATATGGACATCTATCTACTTTGAAGGCTGGACCTAACCTTCTAGTATTTCTATCTGGATTCAAAACTGTGAAAGAAGGATTGATCAGCTTCGCAGAAGAATTTTCTGACCGACCATATGATCCTTTAGTGGCTCCTTTAGGGAAAGAAAGGGGTAAGTGCAAGTAGTAAGAAATTGTACATAAATAAGCATCACACTGTTATAATTTGTGGTAATATAATTCATAGCACGGGGGAAGGCTATGATTGATAGGCAAAAGAAAGATTGCTTACTTTGCTTTAGACCTAATTATTATACATCACCATAGCTTTCTATCTGGTTCGTTACATTCATGTGTTGATTTAGACATTACTTCTTTTTCATTAAATACTTCATAGATATTAAAGCAAGTAGGAAGTGAGCAAATCAGTGCAAGGCTATTCCAATGGCTTTGCATAGAAAAGCAAAATTTGCATAATTTTATGAATTCATCTTTAGTAGTGATCTGGCTTTTGGGCTGTGGACTGGTACTACTCCATGGCCTGTTGAGAACTGGGCCACACAAACAGCAGGCGAGCAAGTGAAGCTTTATTTGCACATAGGTGAGATCTAGGTTGTGCGCGAAACCATCCCTCCCCCTCGGTGCATGGAAAAATTGTCTTTCACAAAACTGGATTCTGGTGAAAGGAAGGAAGGAAGGAAGGAAGGAAGGAAGGAAGGAAGGAAGGAAGGAAGGAAGGAAGGAAGGAAGGAAGGAAGGAAGGAAGGAAGGAATAGAATACAGAGAAAGTGATAAATGATGATGATAGATAACCTCAATTTGGTTATCAATGATAGACACTCGCAGATACAGAACTTTTATTATACTCATTAGAAAACTACAATATTACATATTTTTTGACATAATCACCATTCAAATTGAGGCACGTCATAACATCTTACAAAGTTTGAAATTCCTTACTAATTGTCACTTGGTGCCACATCTGGACTATGGGGAAGGCTGATCAAAAACATCCCAACGGAACTGCTTCAAAAGTTCTTGGGTGCATCTAGCGGTGTGCGGACGAGCCTTGTCATGAACCAACACCACACCGGATGTCAGCAGGCCCTGACGCTTGTTATGGATGACTCCTCTGAGTTTTCATTGACGTCTGAAGTGATGGTCAACGCACGCTCCATGAACTTCACTAGATGTACTCTTTTGGCATCCCAGAATACTGTTGCCATAACCTTTCTGGCAATGTTTGCAGAGCTTTTTAGGGTTTCCTTGGCGAGTGAGTATGACACCACACCATTGATTGCTGTTTGCTTTTGTGGTTGACATACAACACCCAGGTCTCATTGCCAGTCACAATTCTGTTAAGAAGTTGTTCTCCTTCCTCGGCATAATGCGTGAGAAAGTCCAAAGCAGAACCCAGATTTGGTGTTGAGTGACTGCCACCTCTTCATTTCAAACCTTGGAAGACATTATGACAAGTGCCTAATTTGAATGGTGATCATGTCAAAAAATAATGTAATGTTGTAGTTTTCTAAATAAAAGTTCTGTATATGAGTGTCTGTCATTCATAATGAAATGGAGGTTTATTTCCAAATTGCCCTCGTAGTTATGCTATAGTGGCGAATATTTGTAGATATAGATATTCTAAAATTAATATGTTCATTTGCTACATTCTTATGCCACTATTCAATTTATATAGACTATCAACAATGTCATAACATTTTCTAACTGATATGTAATTAATTTAAGAAGAATCCAAATTTATAGTGAATTCTAAATTAAAGCAATTGGTTCCTTGGGGTTAGAAAGTGCTCCTTTTTCATCATATAACTTACTAATATCTTGATAAAACTACAGTTCTGTATCTTCCTGATTTATCTCTTTGAGTTCATGAACTTTTCTAAGAATATTTTCCCTCAAGTGGGAATCAACAAACTTAATATATCCTCAGTTTTTCTACTTTATGGCATGATTTCATAAAGACTATAACTGATTTCCTTGTGGTATTAATAAAGCCCAGAAAATAATCAGCCGTACATGGTCTAATGTCCAGAAGATTATTTTGAGTCTTTTTTTAAAATACAAGAATGCTGGACATTTATCAATTTCATAAGGACTATCAACAATTTCATGCGCTTCTTTAGACATTTTCTTAATTTGTTTATACCTACTAAAACTATTAATTTGCTTGTTATGTTATTTTTACTCTTGGACCTTGTACTTTGAAATATATTATTCTCCAGTTCCTTAATTTGAAGTTGTTTTTTAAATTAAAAAATTGGTTGCTTTTTTATACTACATAAATATGTCAAGTGAAGACTGTCATATGTTGGCTAAGCTTTTCTTATAACATTTTGTTCACTTATTTGATATTCTCACCAGAAATCCAGAGAGAGATTTCGCAAAAACTAGACCTAACTGATTTTTTTTAACATGAATGTTATCAGGAATCATTTATCGTTGTCTGCTGATGCCCACAGGAATTATTTTTTCCAGTGGCCACACCTGGAAACAGCAGAGACACTTTGGCATCACTTCTCTGCGGAAGCTGGGCCTGGGAAAGAAAAGCATTGAGCACCAAATAGAAGACGCTGCTCAGACATTGGTAGAGGCCTTTAGACAAACAAAAGGTATGCAATTTGGGGTTATCATAATGGCTCAACTCCCTGTCTGCAGAAATTTTTTTCATTCTGAGTATTTTGAATAAAAGCAATGCATTTGATTTGATTTTTCTATTTTTGAAACAATTAGTCCCCAGTTGTCTTCCTTCATCCACTTAGAAGTCTTGTTCCCTAAAAATTCATTATAAAATATCTTCATTCGCAGGACAGCCATTTGACCCTTCATTTCCTGTACTAAATGCAGTTTCTAATATCATATCTGCTTTGAGTTTTGGACATCCATTTGCTCCTGAGGATGAAAACTTCCAGAAGTTAATTCAAGCCCTTAATTTTGTTTTTAATTTTACTGGTAGCATTTTCCACTTGGTAAGTCATGTTTTCTATTAAATAGACAAAGCTTCCCAAACCAAGAGTTTGAACCTCCTATCTGGAGCAGCTACTTATATGCTCTGTATAGCCAGTAGAACATTTGTTAAAATGTTGAGACCCAAGTACTGTGTGATGGGGACAGACTTGAACACTGCGTGCTATCTAACAAAATGAAATTCAATGGTGTAAAAAGTAAGGTTCTACATTTAGGCAAGAAAAACCAAATGTACAGGTAACTGTGAGAGGGACCTCAGAGTCCTATTGGACAATCACTTAAATATGAGCCAGCAGTGTGCTGCAGCTGCCAAAAAAGCCAACTCAGTGCTGGGCTGCATTAACAGAGGGATAGAATCAAGATCACGTGAAGTATTAGTACCACTTTACAATGCCTTGGTGAGGCCACACTTGGAATACTGCATCCAGTTTTGGTCACCACGATGTAAAAAAGATGATGAGACTCTAGAAAGAGTACAGAGAAGAGCAACGAAGATGATTAGGGGACTGGAGACTAAAACACACAAGGAATGGCTGCTGGAATTGCGTATGTCTAGTTTAATGAAGAGAAGGACAAGGGGGGACATGATAGCAGTGTTCCAATCTCTCAGGGGCTGCCACAAAGAAGAGGGAGTCAAGCTATTCTCCAAAGCACCTGAAGACAGGACAAGAAGCAATGGATGGAAACTAATCAAGGAGAGGAGCAACTTAGAACTAAGGAGAAACTTCCTGACAGTTAGAACAATTAACCAATGGAACAACCTGCCTCCAGAAGCGGTGAATGCTCCAACACTGGAGGTTTTTAAGAAGAGACTGGACAGCCATTTGTCCGAAATGGTGTAAGGTTTCCTGCCTGAACAGGGGGTTAGACTCAATGACCTCTAAGGTCCCTTCCAACTTTATTATTATTATTATTATTATTATTATTATTATTATTATTATTATTATTATTGTTGTTGTTGTTGTTGTTGTTGTTGTTGTTGTTATTGTTATTCCTTCATCAGTTCCTGCCTACCTAGCAGTTTGAAAGCATGCAAATACAAGCAGATAAATAGGTACCATTTCAGTGGGAAGGTAACAGTGTACCATGCACCTCAGCATATAGTCATGCCAGCCACATGACTGTGAAAGCTTCTTTTGACAACATTGGCTGTCTTGGCTAGGATATAGAGATGAACACCATCCCCAGAGCTGAACATGACTAGACATGAGAAATCTAACCTAAGTTACTTTAACTCTGACTTGTATAGGTATCTTCTCCCTTTTTAATTGCAATACCGTATCTTTTATTTTTAAACACATAAATACAATAAATATCTCACATTGTAAGTTGAGAGTGAAGTGTTGAGAATATTCTGTAACTCTGGTAGGATATAAATAGATAACATTACCTCTTCTGTTTTTTATTAGATGTATCGTTTTTTCCCACAATTAATGAACTACCTCCCAGGCCCTCACCAGAAAGCTCTGGCTTCTAGGGACTTTATCCTTTCCTTTGCAAAGCAGGAAATAGAGAAACACAAGGAATTTCACGCTCTGCATGAGCCACAGGATTTCATTGATTACTATCTTCTTCAGATGGAGAAGGTATGGATTTATTGTACTTCAATATATGGGCAAGGATTTATTGTACTTCAATATATGGGCATTGAATTATTACATTCCTCACTATAAGTAAACAAGAGAAGCTACTAGTTTTGTTTTCCTTGGAGGTATTTTTTTTTCATTCAGCTCCCATTCTGAATTTAACCCAACCTAAATGTTGAAAGAAAAATCTCCATCAGGGTCCATTCCAAGCTGGGAATAAACAAAATGGAGACTGCTTTAGAAAGAAGGTTGTAGTTTATTGAAGAGCAGAACCACAAGACATGAGGCTCTACAGCAGCTGACCACATGCAGCTGGGAGTGGTGGGTTTTTATACCCTCTTGGGTTTTTGAGGTTGTTTCCTGTTACTGTGGCATGACCTTTGACCTGAGCTTCAGTGTGCCTTTCTGGTATGCAGATTTTAGGGGTCTTTGTTTTTCTAATCTCATCAGCTTCTAGCTTTATGTCTCTAACCTTTCTGAATAGGATTGCTGTCGTGGTTCCGACTAATGAAACACTTCAAAGAACTTCCAGGCATGATTATCCTAAAGCCTTTTATTTTTACAAAATGTTGGCACAGGCACAACGGAAGTTTTTTTGCCAGAATCTGAATTCCTCTTGCTGGCATCTAACTTTTCTTGCTAAACTCGTCCCTTATCTTGCAGTCATGTCACATCTTCCAATTCGCCCAGAGGGCAGAGATTCACTTGCGTTCCCTTTTTCTGGCTTCTGAATTAACTCTAAAAATACAAACAGTTCTGCATATTGTCAAAAGCAAGAATATACAATATTTGCAGCATTGACAATTGTCACATCTGCATTTCTAAAAGGTGGTTTCCTGAGTTCCTACTGGGGGCTATTAAGAAAATCTTTTTAATTCAGAGAAAGACCCAAAATGATTTTTTAAAGCAATTTTTATTAATTTGAACTGGGTCACTTCATTTACAATTGTATACTATCAGTCTTGAGTGTACCATTGGCCTGATCACCACATTCAACATATACACACTTCTTAATATTAGCCTCTATACCTAAACCATTAAGGCATGTTCTGTATGAATGGTTCAAGACTGGTTTATTTTTCACTCTCTTTCCTGATATTATAAGTATATAATAGCATTTGTGTTATAATTGTAAATTTCTGGTTGCAGTATTCATGTTGAATAAAAAGAACAACATTGAACCATTGTGGATGGAAAAGAAGTAGATGATATGGTACTTGATAGCAATGTGGTACTTGGTGTCAAGAGCATGTGAAGTATTACTGCTGCTTTCTACTACATTGCTGAGACCACATTTGGAATACTACATCCAGGTTTGGTCACCATGATGCAAAAACATGTTGAGACCCTAGAATAAGTGCAGAAAATAGCAACAAAGATGATTAGGGAACTGGAGGCTAAAACCTATTAAGAACAGTTGCAGGAACTGGGTATATTTAGTTTAATGAAGAGAAGGACTGGGGTGACATGCATTTTTTAATTATTTATTCACTAAATTGTAATTGGGTATTATAATGATAGACCTCTGGGTACATTGCCCATACTGAATATAAAGAGCAATGGTGAGAGGTTTATTCTCACGACTTGCAACACGGTTAAAAATAACCACACAAAAGTTGCATAGAATTTATTGTAATTTTCATTTTCCATTTTAAACTTCAGAGCAGGAATGACCCCGATTCAACCTACAGTGAAGAGAACCTGGTTCGGTGTATTTGGGATTTTTTTTTTGCTGGGACAGACACGACTATGGCTACTCTGATGTGGGCACTGCTCCTCTTGACCAATCATCCTGACATCCAAGGTGAGACAGACATGGATGGGTGGAACGAGAGTCACTCTCAGGTTTTAAAACACAGAGAAATTATTTGAAATACTGAATGATTGAACTGAATCTATTATTTGTAGATTCTTGACCCAATAACCAGAAGCATGAAGGTAGCAGGTTTAACGGAGAGACAAGAATGTACAAACAGTGTTTCTTCTTTGAATCCTCAATAAAATATTGAGTGAGGAACTAAAAACTGGAAACCAGTACAAATATGAAACATTTAACACGCTTTAAATGCAGAAATTTATCAAAGTGTTTAGATATGTTACTTGTTTTCATCTTAAATTGCATATAGAAGACCAAATTACAGTAGGATAATGAATATAGAAAAAAAACCAAGAGGACGGACATAAGGTGATGTACAATGTGGGGCTCCCTACCATGAATTAAAGGGATGTTAGCATTATGGGGGGAAATGATGAAACAGATTATCTGGACCCCTTTCAGTCAGGCTTCAGGTCTGATTATGGGACATCAAAAGGATTAGCTGTACTTGTAGATGAGCTCTGTGGGGAGCAGGATGGGTTTGGTACATCTGCCACATTACTCTTGCTTGTGCCTTGCTACCATGCGATGACAGTATGCCATGAATGTTGTGGAGGATGGTTGGGTGGGAGAATGCTTGGGGGAAAATGAAAGTAACTGCTTTATCTTCCCAAGGTGCTGCCTCAAGGTCAGCCGAATGGGAAAAGAAGGCAACTGCATGGTTGAGCTCTTTTCTTCAAGGCCAGTTCCATTTGGTGGTGATAGGGGGTGAGAGATCCAGCCCACAGCTATTCCTTTTCGGTGTGTCTCAGGGCTCCGTACTCTCCACTCCTTTTTAACATCTTTATGAAACATCTTCACCCAACACCATGGGATGAGGTATCATCAATTTTCCCATGATATACAATTTTGCATCTCCTTCCTTTGTGACCCAAGTGATGTGACAGTAACTGTGAGAGGGATCTAGGTGTGCTACTGGATCACTACTTAAGTATGAGGCAGCAGTGTGCTGCAGCTCACAAAACTATCAAGCAATCCTAGATTACATGAACAGAGGCAATAGCATCAAGACAAGAAGTGATTTGTCAGATCTGCCACCATATAAATCTCTAAACAGAAATGATCCTTGGCTCCATTTTCTGAGAAAGGTATAGTTTTATTAGATGTCAAGTACATTGCCATAATGTGTAGCCAGAACTGAGAATCTTTACCAAAATCCCTTAGTTCAACTTTTCCCTCCATTACCTGCCTCCCATGATTCCCCATGGCCAACCAGGTTCATGTGAGATGTTTTCAGAGTGATCAGTTCCAGCCCAGGTTGGTATGAAGCTGCCTTCTTTTCCCAGTCAGGTGACCTTGAGGCAGCATCTCGGGAAGATACAGTTGTTACTTTCATTTTCCCCCAAGCATTTCCTCTCCGAACCATCCTCCCTAGCATTCATGGCAGACTGTCATCGCATGGCAATCAGGCACAAGCAAGCATAAGGTGGCAGCTGACATGATAATCTTACCTTATATTGCCATGGTGAGAACACACTTAGAATACCACATCCAGTTTTGATCACCAAGATACAAAAAGATGTTGAAATCCTGGAATATTTGCAGAGAAGATCAAGAAAAATGATAAGGGGTCCAGATGCTAAATCATAGGACAAATGATTGAGGGAGCTTGATATGCCTAGCCTATTGAAGGGAAGTATTGAGGGGCGTGATAATTCTCTTACAGTACATGAGAGGCTGTTACAAAGAAAAGAGGATTGAGAAATTCTCCAGGGCAGGGGTCTAAAAACTTCGCCCTTTTGTGACTTGTGGATTTCAACTCCCAGAATTCATCAGCCAGGCATGCTGGCTGAGGAATTCTGGGAGTTGAATTCCACAAGTTATACAAGGGCCAAGTCTGAAGACCCCTGCTCTAGGGCATCAGAGGGACAAGACATAATATGTAGAAGCTTATCTAAGAGAGATCCAACCTTGAAGTAAGGAAAAATTGCCTGTCAGGAAGAACAATTAATCAGTGGAATGTCTTAACGGCTGGAAGTTGTGGATGCTCCATGATTAGAGGTTTTGAATGGGATTATATAAATCTCCTGCCTTGAGCAGGGGTTGGACTATAAGACCTCCAAAGTCCCTCTCAGACATATGATTCTATTAAATGATTACAATTAATGCCCTAAATGCTATTCCAGGTCCTAACGTTCTATTGAGGATTAAAATTTGGAAACAAATAAAGGAAGCACAATATTGAAAATGAACCTTCTATTTCTATCATTTTTTCTAGAGAAAGTCAAGAAGGAGATTGAAGATGTGTTTGGCTTCTCAGGGTCAATTTCCTATCAGGATCGGAAGAAGCTGCCTTACACCAATGCTGTGATTCATGAAATGCAGCGTGTAAAATATGTCTTGCTAATTGGGGTTCCCAGGCAAAGTACAAAAGATGTGAAGATGAGGGGTTACCACATTCCAAAGGTGAGAAACATGGTCAGGCTGCATTCCGGTAGTCCATTATGGAAGTAAAAACAGAATATGGACTTTGACACAAGCTCTCTGTTCAGGAACTGCCGAAGGAGTCATGCAAAATCGTATTGGGAAGAATAGCAAACTTTTGTGGGGAATGGATGATGTGTTTAAATTTAACAGCTGTCAGATTTTAAAGCTAGAACCCTGAACATTTTTCTATTTATTGTAAGAAGATGATAATATTAAGTTTGGAACTGAAGTCATGCGTCACCATCTTTCTTATTGGGGCAATTTGGACTGATAAGGACAGCTCTCCGTTTTAATGGAAGGGGGGGGGGGGATAAAGGAGGAGCCACTGCTCTCACAATCTGCTTTGGAAATGAACCAATAGGGGTGCATAAAGGCAAGCTAAAACCAAATGTTTCATCAATATTGTTTGAACTTTTTTGCCCATTTCCTTATGAAACTGTTCTATTTAATCCTATTATTGTTTTTTACAGGGGAGCATTATTATCCCAGACCTGCGCTCTGTTCTTCTTGACCCTGAACAATGGGAGACACCTGAAGAATTTAACCCAAATCACTTTTTAGATAAGGATGGGAAGTTCATTGAACGGGAAGAGTTTCTGCCATTTGGAATAGGTACGTCCTTGAGCAATTTATAATTTATAATTTCCCACCACCACCACCATTAAAATCACAGATTCTGAAATTATCATGGTCTGAACAGAAAATCCAGGAATCTGAATTCCTTCTAGTTTCAAAACTGTGAGAATATGAAGTTCTCCTTAGGCTACAGGGTTTCAATGACAAAGAAATACTAGTTATAATTACATTCTAATCAGTGGAGTTTTATAAGAAATGTACGGGTTTGCACAATTGTCTCCGGTTTTGGGGGGGATAATTATTAGCTAAATCCAAAATCTGAGCGTATATATAGCAACATATTGTCTGGGTTTCTTTTCTTTTTTTAATTTTTATTATTCCTTTTTCTCTTTACAAACAAACAAAATACACAATACATTTTTTCTTTTTTCTTAACAATGCTATGTCCTATATCTCTTATTTTTATTTACATTTATTTACATTACTTCTCATATTTTTTATTCCACATTTCTAACCAGTTATAATACATATCCCATATCTCGTAAAATTCTGTAGCTTCTTTGTCTTTTATTTCTAAAGTAAGTTTATTCATCTCAGCACAATCTAATATCTTACATATAATCATTACATTTGTTTTTATATTCTCCTTTTCCAACACTGTGCATATGCAATGCGTGTTGCAGTTATAATATGTATAATGATGTATTGGAGTCATTTCTCAAGTTTTGGGTTAATTATGTCCAATAGAAATATTTCAGGTTTAAGTTCAATTTGTTGTTTTGTTATTTTCTGTAACCATCTCCTTATCTGCTCGCAATAGGTCTTTTCTTTGGGGCATTGCCACCACATGTGATAAAATGTTCCCTCTTTATTTTTACATTTCCAACAATCTGGATTCATATTTTTATATATTTTAGCCAATGTCGCCGGTGCTAAATGCCATCTGTAGAACATTTTGTATTGGTTTTCTTTGTATGCAGTTGATGACGTTAATTTATAATTTCTATTCCATGTTCTTTCCCATTCATCTAACACTGGAAGTTTTTAAGAAGAGACTGGACAGCCATTTGTCCGAAATGGTATAGGGTTTCCTGCCTGAGCAGGGGGTTGGACTAGATGACCTCCAAGGCCCCTTCCAATTTTACTATTATTATTATTATTATTATTATCGATCATCGCACAGTCAGCCAGATGTTCAGACTGGATTTGGCATTTTGAAAGTATCTGTGAATTTTATTTTTTCCATACCATAGAAAGGCATGCCGTCTAAGTTGTTGGTTGTGTCCCTCTAAGTACAATAATCTTCTATCTCTAAGAGTTATCCACACTCCAGTCTGGCAGTCCAAATCCTCCATTTTCTTTTGCTTCTTGAAGCATTTTCAATTTTATTCTAGCTTTTTTTTCTTGCCAAATAAATTTCAATATTGATTTGTTTAGTTCACAGGTGTCAAACTCACCACGTCACATGATGTGTCGTGACGTATCACAACTCTTTTTGCATTGCTAGCAATGGGGTGGGTGCAGCTTCAGTATGATGAAACCATCTGTAGGCTGGCAGTTTGACACCCCTAGTTTAGTTCATCAAAGAAGATTCTCCCCACTTTTATAGGTATAGTTTGAAACAAAAAGAGTACTTTTGGTAGAATATTCATCTTCTCTGTTGCTATTCTCCCCAACATTGAAAGCTGTAGATTTTTCCATTTTTTCAAGTCTAGTTTTAATTGTTTTAATAATTTTACATAATTATCTTCTTTTATTATTGCACATCTTGCTGTTAGGTAAATTCCCAGGTACTTAACTTTTTTGACTATTTGAAGACCTGTTTTTTTCTGATAGCTGATTTTTTGTTTTTCTGTAAGAGTTTTAGTTAACAATTTGGTCTTTTCTCTGTTTATTTTCAGACCTGCCACTTTCCGAATTCTTCTATCTTTTTCATAAGCTTAAAGCTTGTCTGAAGAGGTTCTTCTAGTATAAAAACTAAATCGTCTGCAAATGCTTGTAATTTGTATTTTTCATTTTTTATTTCCACTCCTTTAATTTCCATATCTTGTCTAATGTTTCTATTTAATACCTCCAATGTTAGTATGAATAGCAATGGAGATAGAGGACATTCTTGTCTTGTGCCTTTTATCTGCAGATATACCGATGACTCTTTCTCCATTGATGGTGCAGATAGCAAAGGGCATAAAAAGACTGCTTCAGTTATGACAAATGTGAAGTGCCATTGTTCTCCCAGAAAGCTCAGGTCTTATAAGTGGAAAAGAAAAGAAAGCTTTTATTTGCAAATAAAAGATTTATCCAAATGGCATACCTTGTGTAAAGATCAAAGTTGGATTTTTTCAAACTGGGTTCTGATGGCTCTACCAAGAAATATTGGCAAACACCACACCACATACCACCACCACCCATACACACACCTCAAATACTCTTTTAATTATTCTATTTGCTCCCTGCTCTTTCAGGAAATTTCCCTTTAGTTCTAGATTGGTTTTCTCCTTGATTAGTTTCCATCCATTGCTTCTTTTCAATCTGAAGGACTGGAACCACTGTGCCACCATAGATGAAGTCCAACAGAGGCACAGAAGAATTCTTGGTCAATGAACTGAAAATTAGCTCTCTCCACATTAGGTTTCTGACATAGATTATTTGCCAAGACAACCAAAAAAAGATTCAGTAGCATAGATGGATAAATTCCATGTTGAAGTGGTCAGTTTCATTCAAATGGATTTGCAGCTGTCAGACCATCGATGTCTCAACACTCACATTCATCCAGGCAGCCAGATGTAGTAAGCAAAAATAACAAGAATAAGAATTTGGTCACTGAAAGGGAATTCCTATAGATTATGTGCATTCCACCTCCTGTAGTCTGATGCAGCAGAAAATAAGTTGGTGGACAGAGAGGCGAGAAAGTGGCTTCCTTGTTGTAGGCCCATCTCTGGTAGTACATGCAAAATCAGTTATTTCCCAGGGTTTATAGCTTTGCCTTTGAAATAGTGTACTATCTACCACAACCTTAGTTAAAGTTATGCTATAAATTAAAGTTATGCTCAAAGATACTAGGTCAACATGGAAATATTCTTGGGATGTTACAAATCTTTTCAGATTTCCTTGATGATGTACTTATAAACTGGAGAACAGATTATTATCCCCTTCATGCATGCTTTGTCTCATCTACAGGTCAACGTGCATGTGTGGGACAACAGCTGGCAAGAATTGAGATCTTCATCTTTCTGACCAGCCTGTTGAGGGCCTTCCGCTTCCGGTTGCCTGAAGGAGTGAAAGAACTCAATGAAGCTCCTGTCATAAAAGTGACAATATATCCACACCCTTACAAATTTTGTGCTATTCCCACAAAGGTTTAAACATAAACAATATAAAAAGCATAAAAGTAATTTTGGAGTAGCTATTCAATATAATAAATGTTTCCTATATACCTATTTTCTTAATATTGTGTTTTGCTTCTATTTACTCAATACTGAAACTTGTTCAATATATTGCTGGGTTCACACAACTTCATAGATGTTCCCAAATGATACCATGCTTCAAGTATAAAAAGCTGCTGACAGAATTAACAGAACAAGAAAAAGAGCGTGCCACCCATCTAGATCCCAGTGCAGAACATTTTTCATCCCATTCTTAGGGCTGAACTTGGACTAAATCCAATATCTGCTTCTGTTGATTCTGAGGAGAGTTTTCTGTGATCATTGAACCCGTTAAGCAGCAAGGGCCATGGTGACTGTACACTTTACGTTTAATTTGATCTGTATGGCTATGTCACCATCCTCTGCTACCATTTCTGTATAATACAGATTTTCTAACAGCAGGTTCCATTCCAAAATTAGTTTACTTCGCTCCATTCTGTATTAGTGAGTCTCTTCTCCTTTAATTATAATACAATGGTACCTCAGTACTCATTGTTAATTGGTTCTAGAAGGTGTAATCAGTACCAAAATTGATGAATACCAATGAAATTTTTCCCATAAGGAATAATGTAGTGAGTCACAAGGCAGTGGAGAACAACAAGTTCCAGCTTCTGCATTGAGTACCAAAGAAACAATGACTACCGGGACAAAATTATTGCATCAGAATGCACTGAATACCAAATTCGATGAGTTTCCAAGCAGTTGAGTACCAAGTTATTTAGTTCTTTCTGGTTCCCATTAGTATCTGATCTTTGAAGTCCCACTTTATCATGTTGTTCCTAGCCAACATCCTTTTTATGGAAAGATTTCTTATAATTAATTTCAAAATCTTCATATACTTTTTTAAAAATTAAAGACTGTCTGGTCCCTTAGTTTCTTTATCACTTTCCAAAATGAAGCTTCTAATCACTCCTGTGCTGTTTATTTCAACATAAGAATTTTTAAAGATTTAATACTTTCATAAATCTTCATTAGCCACGTATTAAAGGAAACTCATGTAGTGTAATCAAACTTGCCCTTCTGAAGGATATTAATATTTTAAAAAGCCCATTAACGAGCAAATTCCAGGACTTCCTGTTGGGATTTCCCGACAATGCAAATGCTCGAGGACGGGGCTCCATCTGGTTTCCCCCTGCAGGGGGACGCTGGAAAGGGTCGAAAGTCACCCCATAGAGGTGGCAAATGAGGAATGGAAGTTTGTTGATCGTGCGGGAGGGATGGTAGCCCCCTGTTTGATCCGAGGAAGCCCTCCAAACTGGCATGGGAAAGACTGGCTGCATTTGTATAGCCAGCCCTAAGCTGTTGACTACAGAAGTCAACAAACACTACCAAGCGTTTTTACAGCAACGTGGATGAAACTGGGTGAGACCTGATCCTTTCTTTATGATCTTGAAGCCTCTTCCTGAAAAGCTGCCCAAAACACTTCCCCCAATTAAAGAGGGAAAGGGAATTTTTGCCCCACTCCCTCAGAAAAGAAAAGTGATGAATTAATACTTGGGGATACTGACGAACCTATAAGACTCAACTGGAACTAAAATATACTTAAAATTTGGGGACTAAAAGTGTTTTTAAGACCTTTTTTATTTTTATTTCTTCTAAAGAAAAAGACTTGAAAAGTTTAACAATATGTTTTGGATTTAAAAACCAGAAAATGGCATTGATGACATCCAGTGGTGAATTATGGCACTACAACTTATTTGTGCCTAAAAGAAATCTGGCTTGAAGCCCAGAATTAGATAAGGTTTTGACTGACCTTGGAATTATTTTACTATTGAAAATTACAGTTGAGAAAAAAAGGAACAGGCTTGAGGGCTGCTTACCTATGTGGCAGAGATGATAAACATGTTAATCTTGGCCGGTCTGAATTTTGAACATAAATACTGACTTCCAGAACTGTATTGTGGATTTATTTATTTTCAATTTCTTCTTCTTCCCTTGGCTTGGCTGCTCCTTCCATTGTCATTTCTTCCTGTCTCTTTGTTTCTCTCTCTGGACGGGGTTCCGTACTTTTCCCTTCCATGAAAGCTCTGTGGTTGTCATAGAACTCCATTGCCTTAAGTGTTGTATCCAATCTGTATCTTTCCCCATCCCAATTAATTAAAATCTCTTCTGGAATCAGTCGTCTGAAATTCACTCCTTTTTCAGTTAATTTTCTGATCAGGAATTGATATTCTCTCTTATTCTCCTTGGAATCTGTTTCAGGACTACATCCTTTTTTTTAATAAAAAGTTTTTTATTTTCCATTTATTCATACAATTCAATTAAAATAAATTCCTAACCATTGGTACCGCCTGCTCATTCCCCCCAGGCCGCATCCACCCTCTCTAATCCTTCCCTACTTCCCTCCTCTTTCTCTCCTCCCCTCCTACTCTCTTCCCCTCCCCATCTCCTCTAACCATCCTACTTCCTCCCTGCTCCTTCCTCCCCTCTCATCCCTCTCACACACATGAACGCAGCATAGGGGAAATGCCCAAGCATTTACCATGACTATGTTATCATTACCCACCCACCCACCCTCAACCCTCCCCCCCTCGCTTCCCAGAGCAGAGTACAGGGTTATTAATAAGAAAGTTAACAATAATAAAAAAAAGAAAAGAAGAAAGCTTCTAATCACTCTGGTGATTATTCCAACCTAAGAATTTTTAAAGATTTAATACTTTCATAAATCTTCATTAGCCACGTAATAAAGGAAACTCATGTGGTGTAATCAAACTTGCCCTTCTGAAGGATATTAATATTAAAAAAGCCCATTAACAAGCAAATTCCAGGACTTACTTCCAGAACTGTATTGTGGATTTATTTATTTATTTTCAATTTCTTCTTCTTCACTTGGCTTGGCTTCTCCTTCCATGGCCATTTCTTCCTGTCTCTTTGTTTCTCTCTCTGGATGGAGTTCCAAACTTTTCCCTTCCATGAAAGCTCTGTGGTTGTCATAGAACTCCATTGCCTTAAGTGTTGTATCCAATCTGTATCTTTCCCCATCCCAATTAATTAAAATCCTTTCTGGAATCAGCCATCTGAAATTCACTCCTTTTTCAGTTAATTTTCTGGTCAGGAATTGATATTCTCTTCATACCTCTCTAATTCATCTTAGAATCTGTTTCAGGACTACAATCTCTTTTTCTTTATATTGCAAAGGATTATTCTTACTCTTCTCAAAATCTCATGTCTTATGGATCTTTTGACAAATCTGACATGTACCTCTCTGGGAACTTAATTTCTTTTCGCAGAGCTTGAATTGACTCGAAATATTTGATCTAACTCTCCTTCCATTTCTTGTTTCCCGATTTCCAGGTCTTCAGCCAATAGCTCCGTTATCAAATCCATGAGGTCCTCTTCTTTGTCCTTTATTATATTTTGAAATCTTGGGAAAAAAGATGCCCTTTCCATTTCCATAACTGCAATTGAATTTTCCATTTCTCTTATTAATCTGTATCAGGTTTTGGTTTTCACCTTTCAGTTCTGCCAACTTTTGATCAGTCTCTAGTGACTTATCTTCTACTTTCTGGATTCTTTGTTCATTTTTTTGTGACCACCTGTTTAAAGTTTTCTAGCTGAGAGTCTATGCTGTTAATTTTTTGGTTCATTTTATCAAGATTGTCTTTTGTCTCCTCATGATTTTTCCTTGTATCTTCCTTATGGGAGGAAATTGCTTCTTGGATCACTTGTAATGTCGCTTGCATCTCCTTCTGGAAGTTGCTAGCTTTTTCTTGTCAGAGCATTGTTTCAATTGATCTCTGATACACTGGGCTTGCAGAGGTAGAGGATGGGGCTGAAGGCACTTTCTTACCAGTTTTACTCAGATCCCTCACTCATTTTATTTTTACCTCCCAAAGGGAGGGGCCTCACTTCCAAAGACAACTGTTCTGGATCCAAAGTTGTCCCTCAGTCAAAATGTATAATCCACCAAGACCTGCATTCGAATTAGTAGTCCATAGGCCTTCTCCAAAAGATTTTTCACTATTTCAGTTTCCACTGTCCATAAATAGTTCTCCAGTCCAACATTAAGAATTTATAATCCACACTAACTCTGTCTTTAAGCAGCTTGTAGAAACGCAGTTCAAACTGTATTTATAATCCAAAGAAAAAAAACAGATGGTTTCAAAATAGTTTATATCCTTTAGTTATAATCCATCCTGCAGAACAGAAAAAAAAAAAGCAGCCCAGAGAAAGCCTTCTCTTTTCAGCTATAATCGACAGGACTGTGAAGATCAGGAACATCAAACATTAAAGGGTTTAAACTTCAAACTATGGGCATCTAGCCAACTTCTAGCTTTCTAGACAAAATACAATTAATCCCCCAGTTACAAATATTTATTTAGCGATATTTCACAAAAACGAGGTTATTCAGAAAGGGTATATTAAAAATTCAAAATTGCATTCAAAAATAGGCCTCTGTAGCTATGTGACTTGGATTCAGTCTCAGCTGCTGCGGTGGCCATTTTAACTCTGTGACTTGTCTGGGCTGGTTCGGGCCTACGAGAAGCCAGAAGTGTTTTTGTGTGCATGTGTGTGTGTGTGTGTGCCTGGTGACACAGCCAAGAAAGATTTTTGCAGCTGGTAGGTCCATTTGTTTTTGTTTTCCTGGAGCTCAGTGTGGAAGATCTGCTGCTTGCTGGGCTTGAGGCCTGGGCTTGTAGAAAGCTAGAATTACTTCTGTAAGTATTTGAAAATATTCTTTTTTGTTACTCTATAGTCCTATACTGTATTGTTTGTAATTACTTTGGGAATTGCTCTGCTTTTGATTGTTTTGTAGGGACAGTATTTTGCAAGATTGATTGTTTGCATTTGCCTGAAACTTATAGCATGTGGCTGTGTTTCTCCTTTTCCTAGCATAGACCCACCAGCGATTCTGCTAACACTTCCTGGGAGGAAATTTCCCCTCCCCCACCCCATTTTGGATTTTGGCTGGAGAGGCTTGTCCTGAAAAGGAGTAGTTTTTTTTAAAAAAAAAGATTTTAAATTTAAATTGCCACCAGAAGTTGTGGGTGTTCTCTCACTGGAGGCTTTTAAGA